TGTGAGTGAGTGAGTGTGTGTGTGTGTGTGAGTCAGATCTCCTAACCCGTCGTGTGAAGTACTAACTGCACACGGTCAGAGGAGACTCCAGCTCTTTAGCATGCATGCGTGTGATTTATAAGCATCTCTCGTCTCCAGCTATCATCGATTAGCACTGAGTAATTCCTGGACGTGCCATATAACTATAACACGCATTCAGGTCTTCCGATAGTCTGATGATTGATGGCGTTCAGTGCCGCAGGGCCCGAGAGCCGCGGCCCGTCTGACTGACACGACTGGTGCTTTAATTCACCAGAAGACTCGCTCGTAAGTTTGAGGCGTCACTCAAAGTCTGTCCGCGGCTGATTACTGCCGCTCGCATCGACTGAGAACCCATCAAACAGGCTTGAGGAGGAAAAAAAAAAAGAAATGCTTCAAACTGTCAGAAGTTCAGCTAAAAACCGAAAGTATGTCTTATTTTTCTTTCAATGTTCTTAAAATTGAGCATGCAGAGACATCATGAGTGAGTCATTAAAAGACTGAGAAGTTTTTAGAACAGCAGGTCTTGTGCACTAAGCGTGATGCCACACGACTGGTGCTTTAATTCACCAGAAGACGCGCTCGTAAGTTTGAGGCGTCACTCAAAGTCTGTCCGCGGCTGATTACTGCCGCTCGCATCGACTGAGAACCCATCAAACAGGCTTGAGGAGGAAAAAAAAAAGAAATGCTTCAAACTGTCAGAAGTTCAGCTAAAAACCGAAAGTATGTCTTATTTTTCTTTCAATGTTCTTAAAATTGAGCATGCAGAGACATCATGAGTGAGTCATTAAAAGACTGAGAAGTTTTTAGAACAGCAGGTCTTGTGCACTAAGCGTGATGCCTGCGCACAAACACTTTCACCAAAAAAATCATGATTCATCGATAACTTTTGAGCTAAAATGTATTCTATATATATATATACCAAAAATGTTGGAACAACTGAACCACAAAAATCACATACTCTGGGATGAAATGGAAGTAGCAACAAATCTTTTATTCTATATTGTACCATGCATCTGAGTGTTTTATACATAGATGTTTAATCTTAAATATTTCATAATACATTTCTGATTATTATCAATGTTGATATTGTGTCCCTCTGTGTGATGTATGCAGCTCACATCCCAGCATCATCAACAGCTGATGCATAGAAGCAAGTCCTCGCTCTGCATTTCTTCTTTTTGGATAATCTGTTACATTTAAATGTATGTCACAGTTCAGAAGAAAAGATCTGTGCTTTCATCACAATTTGAAGTGTCCTGTGTTCGTCGAGCAGTCGTGTGCATGTGTGTGGTGTGTTTCTGGTCTTCTTGGCTCACAGGCGCTCACGTGACCGGAGCTGCACCTGTAGGCGTGTTGTGGGCGCGTGTTACAGGTGTCAGTAGGTGTTTGTCAGAGGACAGACTCAGAGATGTGTGTCTGTCCACCTGTGACGGGACGCTCTAATGACTGCCTCTCTGACTTTTACTCTGACAAAAACAACAGCAGGTCTTACTCACGTCTAAACAACACGAGCTGTGCAACATACGCCGACTGCTTGCTTTATGTTCGTGTTGTTATTTGTTAAAGAGCAGGCATGAAATCACTCTGAGATGAATGTTTAAAGGAATAGTGCACACTAAAATAAACCGTCTTTACTTATAGCTGGTACAAATACAGAATAATGATGTGTCCTGGTGTCCATGCAATGTGCTGCTTGAAGACGAGAAATGTTTGTCTCCGGTTAAGAAAACCTGTTGGTTTATTCTGAAACTGAAACTGCTGGTTAATTCTCTTAATCAGTTCATTAGAAAATTAATCTAAAAATGGTCATTCTTTCATCATTTACTCATTTACATCATTTACAATGTTCCAAACTGTTATGCAGTTTTATTTTAGCATCGAGAGATTCAGTAACGATTTTCTTAAAAATATTTTTACATTTTTTTAAATTTAATTAGTTTATTTTTCTATTTTCTGTTTAATTATTTTTCTATTTTCTGTCATTTTTTTGTGTGTGTTCTTGTTATTCTTATTAGTTTTTTTTTTAACATGTCTGTATAGGTTTTATTAATTTTTGCTTTAGTTTTAGTAATTTTATTCCAGCAAGATAAACTAAATGAAAATGAGAAATGTTACCTTGCAACTAGCTAAAAAAAAAGTTTAAGGCTGTTTTCTCTATATGTATATATATATATATATATATATATATATATATGTTTACATTATTTTATAATTTTAATTTATTATATTTTATTTAAGTTAGTTTTCTTAATTACATTTAAATAAAAATGTCTCTTTTTCCATGTTGTTCCAAACCTGTATGACTAGATGTGGAACACAAAATAAGATATTTTGAGAAATGTCTCAGTGTTTTTTGTCTGTACAATAGAAGTCAGTGGTAACCAAAACTGTTTGGTTGGCAGCATGGTTTCTAGGAT